AAATGCACTAAGTAAAACAAAAATAAACTTTTGGACTATAGAATCAAATTATTATTCACTAGAAGGGAAAGGAAAGCTGGAGAAAATGGGAGAGTGTTGTGGTGAAGGACAGACCTGGGTTTTTGGCAGTGAACTGAAAGCTCTATACACAAGTTGATTTTTAATGATGCACATCTGCAACCACTATAATGTTACATCAAAAATAAAGAGTTAAAATAGGAAAGAAAATGGAGGAAGAGAGTTAGAGGTCATTGGAGTAATCCAGTGACTTGGGAGCAGAGGGGATGTTGACACATGATATGTTGTGATGATAAAGGCATCAGGATGTGGGATAAGATGAAAAGAGGATTCAAGGGTCATTCCTAGACTTTTAGGCTGGGCCAGTGAAATATGGGGAACACATTCACTTAATTGGGAAGGATTCTGGGTGAAAAAGCATATGGAAGAAATAATCAGGAATTTAGTTCTGAGCATTTGAGATTTGAAATCCCTAATCTATGATATTTTGAATATTTGAAGAGAATCGCAATGGGCAGATTATCATCAAGTATAGTCAGTTCTGCTTTAATGGACCAACATGTGCCTAAATATCATCATGCATGCATAATTGTGCAATCAATACTATAAGGTTTGTAGAAAATATAGGGTTGGGACATAACATTCCAAAGCTTTTTCAGAGAGGCATCAGAAATAAAAGCACAGTTTCACACATGTTAGATGCTCATGGAAATTCTCTGTAAAATCCACGATAAATATGGCACTTTGCCCTGAAAAAAATTAGAAATATGCTTGTGCTGTGGTAGAAAGGAGGGTCACCTGAATCCCTGTGGAGAAACATGGCAGGGTGAACGTGGGAGTGATCTCTGCGCTTGGCTCAGGGTCAGCACTGACAGGCGTTTCTCCTGACCTTTTGCAGCTTCAATCCTGTGGCATATTCTTCTGTCTTTCAGTTTGAAAGGCATACAATTATAATAGACACCTGTTTGATCATGACTAAATACACATATACTTATAATGTAGTTATTATATATATGAATGGATATATGACACGTGGACATACACATGTATATATTATATGAACATATCTAATATATTTTATACCATATATTCATATTTATAATATATATGATAATTAAATATCTATAAAGATCTTTCTTAAATTAACTTCTGCATCACCAGAAGCTCTTTCATGGATTTAAAACTGTAGCAGTGTTTGAAACCACTAACTCAGCTGCTGCTCACATCAATAGGAGCCGCTGCCACAGGCCCCATGATTTCTTCTGAAAGTCTCTAATGACAAATAGTAAGGTTTTTTGTAGGAACGCTGTTTGGCATTTTCACCCATGATGAATAGTGAAATTTGGCAATTTCACCCATGGGATGTTGAAAGAGTGGCTGTTGTTTTTTTTTTTTTTTTTTATGTGTGTGTGTGTGTGTGTCTTGTGTGTGTTTATAGAAAGCACACAATTACAAGTGTGTAGGGCACAATTACAGGCTGCAGGCAAAGAGGGCATTGCCACATCCATAGTCTGGGCTTTTGCTTTCCAGGAAGCTCAGTTCAGCCAATGAAGTTTGTTTCTGTTTCTCAGGGACCAAACCACACAGCCGTGTAAGACACAATTCATGTTCTCTTCCAATTGCTCCTTAGCGTACCAGTGTATCTATTGCTCTGGAACAAATATACAAGTTCAGATCAAGGGTTATGAATAACTGTCCTGACACTAGCATAGGAAAACATTTTAAATATGAGAGATTTAAATTGTGTGGAAAGCAAACTTAAGAGTGTTTTTAATCATTGGTGTGCACTTGAAGTCAAGAGGGGCATCTGTGATGGAAAGCCAAGTGTCACTTAAAGGGGACTTGAGTTTATTGAGGGAGAACCAGACCTGGGGCTGTGGGAGAGTTTCAAGAATTCGCCATCTCTAACCGGCTCTGGGGCACAGCCTGAGCAGCCGAGAGGCCTCCCCTTCCAATGGGATCTCCCATGGCCTCCTGGCCCAGCAGGGCTGAGTGGTGAGGATTGCTTAGTAATTGCTTGCCCTGTGCAGAGCTTTACCTTGACCCCAACCGAGCACATTAGCACAGGCCCAGAGGCCCAGCACCTAAATGAAATGTAGCTCCACTCACAAGGAGTCCGAGACTCAGCAAATAAGAACCACATATAAAAATGAAAACTTGGTCCCATATGTCTTTAAACCCATGACGGTTACTGCTGCTCTGATACTGCAAGGGAAAATGACTTAGATTTTTGTTGGGGAGATGGATTTTTGGGGTCTCTCTGTGCAATTTTCTTTAACATAGTGGGGTCTTTGTCACTGTAATGAAAACTGCCTTCAGCTCGAAGGAAAAAAGAGAGGAAAAGAGAGCAACAATAGCAGCCTGGAAGCTGAATTTTCCAAATAAACACTTTGGACACACTGGATTTATATTAGAAACACTGATAAAAACTTGTTCTTGAAGGTGTGAAGATCCAGGCTCTTAAAATTAACGTAAATAGCAGCATCACCGCCATGGGCATCGATGGGGATCTTGAGTGGATGAAAAGAGAGACAACAAAAGAAAAGGTCACATGCAGCAAAGAGTGTTTGCTGCAAAATCTTGGGGAAATTTGTGCAGCTTTGAATAGCACCTCTCATTCTTAATTCATAGATATTCTATAAAATGAAGCATAGAGAAAATAACAAACAAGCGGGTTTGTACATGAACAAATGAGCATTTTTCAATGTAACTTCCGTTCTGTGTGTGTGTGTGAATGTGTGCATGAGTGTGTGCGTGCATGTGTGAGCCTGTGTGTGTGATCACATGCTCATCAAAGAGTACTTTTTTTTTTTTTTAAAGATTTATTTATTTTTATACAAGAGCTGGGGTACAGATCAGAGGCACGGGAGGGTGAGAGGATTCACCAGAGACAGAGCTCCCGGGAGCAGAACAGGCAGAAGGACCGAAATACACTGCTGAGGGGAGCCGCGGGGGCGACAGGAGAGGTCTGCGGTGCCATATGGGTTTCTCCCTGGCCGGCGGGGATTGAACCTGCGTTGCAAAGGCTGCGGACAGCTTCACAGCACTGCACTCAACCCGCTGCGCCACCGGGGAGGCCCACAAAGGTGGGAATGTGGAAAAAAGAAAAATGTCCAAAAAGAGGAAGGTGACCCTAGATCATTCAGCCCCCATGGGAAATGTGTGCTTTGCTAGTGGGGAAACTGGGGCAGCCAGGACGTGAAAGGCAGAAGGACAGCACGCACATGTTCGAGTGTTTGCACATGCATGGCGGACAGCCCTTTATTAGGCAATGGATATGCTGAGTTTCAGGTTTACATTACCAGGAGACTTGGAAAAGTTGAAACTCAGCCTAACTAGGGCTGCCAATGGCCTCTAATGAAAATTTCCATTTGGAGAGACTAGATGTTGACTTGGCATGACACCAAACAAGCAGCCTGCTGCAAAATTTTACACCAATTGTATTTCTCCTAATTAAACCCTGTCTGACCTCAGCATTAAGAAACAATTTGTTTCAGGATATAACCAGCACACATAAGCAATTACATTCTGTTTGCCCCATTAGCATTATTTGGCTCCTTTGCTATCCAGGGCTGCTACAGCAGCAAATGCTGCCCCTGAGCCAGGGCTATAAAAAGCCTGGAGTGTTCGGAGGCTTTCTCCCCCATACTAAGAACTAAGAATATCATCGTATTTTAGCCAAGCCAAAGATTCTGGGAACAGTGTGCTTCTGTGTTTATTATAAGGGAGTGTCTATATATATGAATATTTTTTATGAGTTAAAAAAGACTCTACTTATAAAAAACCTGAGGAAGCTATAATAATCTAGTTTATAATAACCTAAGCTTATCTGGTGTGCTATTTTGCATTTTTCCACTTGCTTGTACTTTTACTTTTTCATAACTGTCAGACTTTGTGAAGCTGGGAATTTAAACCAAAAAACATTGGGTCCTGCAAAACTTTGGAGGGGGCTGGAGACAAATGTTCTCTTATAGAAGTATCACATCCATGTAGCAGAGCCTAAACAAAGAATGACCTTCAACCCTGACCTCTAGCTGCAGACCTGTTTGTGAAGGTCATTTCAGTGGCAGGAGCTCTGGGTCAGGGGTCAAGGAGGGGCTTTGGTCCTCTGGGCCCTGCCACTTGGATCAGCTATGCTCGATCAGGTCCCCAGCTCTCTGACTCTGCATTTCTTCTTTCATAAAATGGCACAGGTGGTACTGGAAGTATTTTTTTCTTTTTTTTTTTTTTAAGATTTATTTATTTATTTATACAAGCACTGGGTACAGTCAGAAGCATGGGAGGGTGAGAGGATTCACCAGAGCCAGGGAGGGGAAAAGAACAGGCAGACTGATGAAATACACTGCTGAGGGGAGCAGCGGGCGGCAGGAGAGGTCTGCGCACCATGTGGGACCCTCGCCGGTGGCCGGGGATCGAACCAGCGCTGCAGAGGCTGCAGGCAGCTTCGCAGCCCAGCGCTCAACCATCTGTGCCACCAGGGAAGTCCCAGGAAGTATTTTTTTTTTCCTCTGAGGTTATCGCAGAGACAGTTGAATCATAGATTATTTTTCTCCATGGTCCTTGAAAGCTGTGGAGTCCTAAATAGATATTAGAACATACTTCATCATAACTTCATCCTGCATCTTTTAGCTGCGGGCTTCCTAGCTTCTGCCACCCTCTATTTGGGAGCTGTGCTGGGAGCGGTGTGAAGGAGGGTGCATGTGTGCTGCGTAGGAAGGAGCCGGAAGGAAGTGGGGGTACATCCCTATCGCCTATAGGAATAAGCAATAAGGTAGGTGGATGCTTGTGCTCAGATTTTGGTCTAATTTTTACCTCTACTGAGTTGCAAAGAAATTTACCATGGCTTTCTTGACTTCAGCTTTTCCACCTGCAGAATGGGAATAAAACCATCTTCCCCCTTTCTACATCACAAAGATGCCGTGGGAACAGGCAAGTGTTGCCTGGGAAGAGCTTTCAGATTCTCAAGCTGTGGGTGTTGGGAAGGGAGCAGGGCTCTCTCCCTGCGTGTTGCAGTGAGGTGTGGCAGGCAGGCTCGCTCTTCAGAGCAGAGCTTCTCTCTGTGAATCAAGAGCACCTTCTGTTGGCAACTAAGTCTCATGAGCCTTAAAAATAAAGGTACAGTGCAGCATAGAAGCAAACTTCAAGGAGACAGAGCACAAAGAATAAGACTATAAGAAAGTCTAAGGAAGAACCTCCACCCTTGGAATGTTACATCATTATGGAAGACATAAGCTCAAAGATTTGAGACTTGGGATCTGGAGTCTGTTACATTGGGGTAAGAACTGCACCTTGAAACAGGAAATTCTGATGTGAGTTCCATATCTGATGATAGCTCCCCATGAGACTTGGGTAGGTCCTTCCCCTGGTATCAGCCTGACCACATGTAACTTCCTAGCTGTCATCCACATTTTCTTTTTTACCTATGTGTGTATTTCCCACCAGTCAAAGCTGCTGAAATCCCTATGTGATTAAAAGATCAGTGATTCTGAAAATCTAGGAATCATCCAGGGTACTTCAGGACAGGCGCGTACCCAGATGCCCTTGGCAATGTGGGGGCTAGGAATCTGCATTTTCAGAGATGCACACTTAGCAAATTAGATGCAGTTGGGATGCCTTCAAAATATACTTGATAAACATAGCTGGCACCCAAAACAGCGCCTGACACAAAGGTGGCACTCTTTAACATTTAGTGAATTAAGGCATAAATGATAACCTGACTTACTCAGATCAAGAAAGACTGCCCATGGAGCAGAAAGTATAAAAACTTACTAATGGGGATTACTTTCGATCTAAAAATTCTAAGGGGCCAAGTTCCCATTAGGGTGCAAGGGAAGGTGAGAACAACGAAGGACTGGGTCAGAAGCCCAAGAGCTCTACAAGGATAACTATGAGGACGAGACCTTTCTGGTTTGAGGGTAAACCACTCCTGCTTACTCTTTCACAGGCCCGCTCTGCTCTCCAAGTCCCTTTACCATCTCTCTTGAGTCAAACTTAAGTCACAACTCTGGTGTTGACATCTGCCCCACCCAGCTCTCTGCAACCCCAGCCATCAGTGATCTTACTTTTCCCTTTACCTCTAAAATTCCCTTGCAGTCCACTAGCTCTCTTAACATTTCAGTGCTGCTGATTGAGCTTTACCTCAAGCTACCTAATGGCTAGTGAACTCACAGTTTCTCTGCAGATGGTTACAGTAAAATACCCGACCAGATGCCCAGTTCAATTTGAATTTCAGATAAACCACACATAGCTTTTGTATTATAAATATGTCCCAAACATTGCATGGGCAGTGCATGGGGCATATTGATACTAAAACATTATCTTTAGTTTATCAGACAATCAAATTGAACTCAGCATCCCGTATTTTGTTTACTAAATGTGGCAACCTTACCTCTGGATGATTTTGCTTGGACCCTTGGATCTTGTTAACCTCTAATTCTTGATTGTCACCAGTAGTTTCCGGATGACTTCCTTTGTGCTGCCTGCTCATCCTGGGTCTACCCAACACTTTCATCTTTCTGCTTTCACTGTCCTTCAATTTGCATCTTCCCAGTCCTTATTGCCCATCTTGGCTTTAAAGCACCACTTCTCTCTAACCGGTATCACTTCTATTGGAGACCATTCCAGACCCCTGTCTCCAATGTTAATGCAGTCTGTGAAGCAGAGTAGGGAGACCTGGAATAGATTTTCTCCTTGTGACTCCTACCTGGCTTCTAGTCCTGAAAAAAAAGGAGTAGGAGGTTAGAAGGAGTAACCCAGCTACAAAAGAGAACTGAGCTACAGAGCCTGGCATTTGATACTATTTTGGACTAGCTGTGGTTCTCCTGAGCAGCATGGAAGTGGAGCTGCCATTCCTTTATTTCTCTTTCTCAGGTCTTGAAAGTCAGCAAAGGAGAGTCTAGATATCAGCAAAATATATTTTTTCGTTATCTTGCAGACATCTCTTTTCTTCTTTTTCATCCCTGACCCTTGCTATCAGATTTCCTTCATCTCATCAAAGCCTATTTCCATATCCTATCTTGTATTCATTCTTCATATGTCACATGTATGTGATTCATGCAAGACTTGCTGATTGTTTTACAGATTTTCTTACTGTTGGTGACTACTCTAGTGTAATTGATAATAATAATAATAACTGATACTTATTCAGTATTTCTTAAGAGCAACCTCTATCAAGCATTACATTTTATACAGTCTCATTCCAGTCTTATATCACCTTCACTCTCAAGGTAGAGAAAAGAGAAGAGGCGATGTCTGTCAAATTGCTTTTCGAATTATGTAATTTGGTGAAGCCAACACTTGACCCCCTCTAACTGAATCACAACCCTGATGTTCACATCATCCTGTTATCCCTCCATTTAATTCACAGTAGGATCTGAGAAACATAATGGCTATTGGTCATTCAGGAATAATGCTCTTTCAAATTTGGGTTATAAAAGAACGAGCTGCAATCTGCATTTGGAAAGCAACGTTAAAGAAATCCAGTCTCCTACCAGGTCTCCTGTACCTCAATTCTACACCCACCCTTTTCCCTGCTAGAGTTTCTCATCCTATGGCTTTGCTCTAGCACACTTCCCCAGAGTCTTTCCCTCAATGATAGACGGATGGCTGCTTCAACCACTGTCTTCACTACTGTGGACTTTTTTTATCATGTGTAACTGAAATGTAACCCATCTCCCCCCGTCCCTCAGAAAAGGTTTCCTCCAGCTACAGGATCTGTAAGATTCAGGAGTATCAGATCTAAATTTGGAGCAGTGACCATGCTGAGACAATTCACTTGAGTCTGAATGTTCCTGAAGGGATAGGATTCTGTTATAATTCTATCAAAGTCCAACGGAAAATACTTCTCTCCCTTTCATAAGCTCTCCTTCTGGAAGAAATTGACCCCAGAGCTACCCTGACAGGGAGCATGATAATGGCAGGGGTGAGCTAGGGTTTCATTTCCCAAATTATCACCCAAACCCAAATCTGTCTGCTTTGTCCCCATCTCTGCTCAGAGGGCCATCTTGCTTCCAAGAAGCAGTGGGATTTATTGACTTTGCTTGAATCAAGGAAGAGTGGGAAACAGAAAGTCAAAAGGTATTTTATTTTTACCATTAAAAATTTGTCAGTGAAAAACACTGCTGTAGTCTTAAAGTCTTGCTTAATTTCTGTAGAGTATCATTATCCTTCCATAGAGTATCATTGTCTCTTGCCCCCCAGAGATAGTGCTGTATACACCTTTTACATTCCCTTTGGGACTTGACCTTTCTGGTGAGCTTCAGATTGAAACACCAAAGCCCTGGGTCTGTGAAACCCAGGATGCAGAAAACTTTTAGGAAATAATAGTGTCAGCTTACTGACACACACGTCCATGGGTCTGGTATACACATGGCCTCAAGGGCTAGGTTCTGGATCATCTGTGGGCAACTCTTCCTGAGGTCCAGTCTGTGCTTGGAATTTCTAGTGGCTCACTGGGCATTGAGTCCCCATGGTCTGAGTATCACTGAGTGGGATGGACAGACGCTGTGACGAAGTCCTCCCTGAGGGCAATAGAAGGTAAAATCTGGCCTTTGACCAATGCATGGGAATTTCCATCACTTCTCAGTTGAGCTTGAGATATTCTCAACTTTTTTACCATGGCACTTTTTCTTCTATTCTAGTTCATTGGAGACACAGTTCTTAGGACACAGTTCCAGCACTAGGCAAGAGTTCATCTTGATCCAATTAGGTAACTGGAAGAAAGAAAGAATACCCCTTGTTACACCAGGAAGGAGGAAGAGTTTTGCCTAGAATCCACTGGTCAGAGTGTGATACGTGGTAAGTTGAGGCAGAGGAAACCTACATGGATAGGACCCATGGGTCCTCCATTTTACTACATTAACATCTAAATGTCACCACTCTAAAGGCCTTTGTGGCCGGTAAATTAAGGATATTTGGATGATTGATCCAAGCAGTGCTTGGTGCCAGGTTCAGATGAGATAATTATGCAAAGTGCTTAGCAGAGGGCCTGGGGGGTAATGAGTGATGAAAAGGGCGGTGGTGGTATTAGCTTCTATTGCTGTGATACAAATTACCACACAGATAATAGCTTCAAGAAACACAAATTGGGCCTCCCCAGTGGCATAGTGGGTTTAGCGCAGCGCTGTGAAGTTGTTCGCAGACTCTGCAGCACGGGTTCGATTCCCGGCTGGCCGGGGAGAGACCCACATGGCACAGCAGACCTCTCCTGTCTCCCCGCTGCTCCCCTCAGCAGTGTATTTCAGTTCATATGCCTGTTCTGTTCCCCACTCTATCTCTGGTGAATCCTCTCACCCTTCTGCGCCCCTGGCCTGTACCCCAGTTCTTGTATAAAAATAAATAAATCTTTTTTAAAAAAAAAGAAACACAAATTTATTACTCCATAGGTCGTCACCCTTACAGCATCCAGCTGGGTTCTCTCTGAGTCTCACCAGGCTGAAAACAAGGTGTTGATTCTGGAGTTGCTCCAGAAGAATCAGCTTTCAAGCACATTTGGGTTGTTGTTGGCAAAATTCAGTTCTCTGGGCTCGGAGGATGGACCTGGGCCCTTGCTTCCTTCCTCCCGTCAGCTGGCATCTCTCCACGTCAGGTCACTTGATTCCCTCTCAAGTGGGTGTTTCCATTTTCAATTCACGGAGGTGTGTGGGCTCTCTCGTGCGCTCTGGCTGCCTCTCCTACCACCAACCAGAGAAAACTCCCTGCTTTTAAAGAACTCACCTGTTGGGTTGGGCTCACCCAGATGATCTCTGTATTTTAAGGTCAGGTGACTGGGACCTTCAGTTATCTGCAAAATCTCTTACTGGGGACCCATATCTGTGCTTTATTGACTCATCGGTGAATAAGAATCTTTAGAATATGCACCCTGAGTTCAAGGGTGATGTCCATGGGTGACTCAACCTTTTGACCAGTCTCTGGGTATACGAAGAGAGACAATAGCCGAGACTAATTTGGAGTCAGATGGTAGAAACCACCTGTTTGGGCTCAGAAGGCAGAATTCATGAGTTTGCTCCTCAGGACAGGAAAGAGATGCAAATAAGAAGTGCATGGAGAAGAGGCACTACACCATGTGGTGGGGAAACTGAGGACTTTTTGTTTTTAAGCATCAGGCTATTTCATATTGTAGTTGAGCTTTTTTCCCCTCTTTTTTTTTTTTTTTCCTTCAAGTTTCTCCACAGTACTGAATTGCTCTCTGTGAAGATTTGAGGGAACTGAATTTCAGGGTTGGACAGATGTGGTGCTGAAGAGAATCCGGGTCAATTACCTAGACGCTGAGGCAGAGGCAGAAGAAGAGCAGAGCCACCGGTGGCCCTGGGATTTTGTAGTGTCCTCAAAGGGGAAACGACCTCCACAAGTTTAAAGGGAAGCACCATGGTCACAAAAGAGATTTCAGTTACACACACAGCCTAGCTGAACAGACAGCTAGAGGTCATCTCCCTAGAACCCTGCTATAGAACTAGACAGCACACATGTTTTTTCCTCCATTAATAAGTTCATCTGGTCATGAGGTCATTCAACAAACCTCTATAGTACCTGTTACACGATACAAGGCATCGCTTTAGGTATTGAGGCTTCAGTGGTGAACAAAACCAAGTTGCTGGTCTCCTGGAGCTTATGCTGAGTTGAAGGACATGGCAATAGTCTAACAAACAGATGCAAAAAAATATCATTTTAGTTGTAAGTGTTAGGAGGAAAAAAGCCACAGGTAGGAAGATGCTGATGCTACAGACTATTTCTGATGAGATGATCAGGGAAGGTCACTCTGAATCAACTCCTGAGAAGGTCAGGAGCGATGGAGAAATGGGCTGTGTGACCATCGGTGAGTGGCCCAGGGGCCCCGCATTGCCCCGGGAGGAGTGTGAGCAGGAAGGAAGTGACATATTCTTTAAATTCTTGCTCAGTTTGCTTTGAAACTGCCTAGGTAAATGCTTTGAGACTATGGATTATGAATGAAAGTGTGTTCTCAACAGATGCATGGAAAAGCCCACAACTGTAAGGGTTTCCAAGGATTCCCAGCCTAACCTAGGGGACCAAGGAGGGCTGTGCCTAAGCTGAGATGGGAATGAAGTCCCAAAAACCCCTCTCTCCAAAACTGTTTGGGGCTCGAGGCCACACTCTTGAGTAAACTTGTCCAAAGGAGGTTGACCATGGTCTCTATGGTGGCATGACAAGAGATGGTGCCCAGAAGGTGAATGGGTGGCAATGTTGTCCTTATTTAGAAAGGCATGGCCCCCAGCTCCCAACCAAGACATGTAGGGCCCTGTCAGGACCCGGCACCCAAACTGGACCTGGTATGTGACAGGTGCCCAAAAACGATTTGTTGAGTGCATGGATTGGGAAAAAGTAATAAAAATGTGATTTTCTAAGCGGAAGGGTTATTTCTGTCAGAACAGAAGTAACTGTCTATTCTCTAAAACTTACACCAAAACAATGATAAACCTGGACACGGATTCAGTGGATTCAGTTCCACAATGGGGGAATTTTATAATAATTAATATTGTTAAACAGAGAACACGGTTGCCCTCACAGGTGAGCTCCAGGCCTTGAACATCCTGGGTGCTGGAGTCTCTGTCAGTCGCGGGACAGCAGCATTCCTCCGAGGGACAGGAAGTTTTTCAGGAGACAAGAGTGATCACTTTATAAGAGCCCCTGACCCTAAATGAGGGTGGTGGGCACTGAGCATTCTGGAAAATGGGGAATTCCCCAGACAGCGGCTGGCTGAGAAGTTGAGTGGAGTGGAGGACATAGTGTAGTTGGATGAGGGGTGTCATGCAGCCATCTGACTCCCGTAAAGTCCATGCTCCCCTCTGGCTTCCCTGGATCTCTTGACATCACTCTCTCAACGTGACTTCTGTTCTTGGCACGGCAAAGTACTACTCACTGGAATCAGAAAGTGGCGGAGCTGAAGGTTTGGAGGCGGTTGGACTCACACCCCCTTGCAGGGAAGACCACCTTCCCTCTCACTTCTTCTGCGCCCGGCCTGTGAATGAAGACTCAACGAAATGAGTTTGGGGGCAGCTGAAGACCCCCGAGGCACGGTGGTCCAATCCTTTCCCTTAGTCCATTTGCTTTTAACTCTCTCTTGAGCAACTGTTCAGTAAAGTTAATAGCTGCAAGCTCTTCGGGGGAAGGTTTGCTAAAATCATGTCCAAGAAAATAAATATAATGAATGAACAATCTCTGGAGAAAGGCTTGACATTTAAAAAAAAATGTAAATTAGTCTCACAAGGATCTGCTATGAAATAGGCAAAGTGCATTAGTACAAATGAGATATTTTTACAGCGATTATAGGAGCCCTCTCCTGGGGACCACACCTGAACTCTTAAAAGCTGAACCAAAACCCAGTTGTGTACCCAGGAATCTAGCGTGACAGATTTGAATGTATTCCACTAATAACTCTTCTCACCCCAGGCCTGCATTTCAGTGCACGGTTCCCCTGTTGTTCAATGAGCTTTGATACAAGGATGCTGGAGCATGGCTTTGAACTCCTCTGAACCCAATTACAGCCAGCCATTTGGAGGTGCCGTGGTGGGTTGGTGGTAGAACAGCGCTCTCTGAACTAGCGCACAGAGAGTTCAAGAAGGAGTTGACTGCGGCGGGTCTGGCAGCCAATTCAGACATGGAACCGTGCCGCCAATGGCACTCCTGTCTGCCAGCCTGAAACGCGGATGGAGAATATAAAAGGGAAATTCAATTAGTTCACCAAAAACGGATTGAGCAAAGCGAAGGGGCAGCCGGTAGCAGCTTTGCTTCTTTGATGTGCGGGAGACTTGTCTTGCTCCAGCACGTTCCTTGCACCAGCTGGGGGTGCTGAGGAGAGGTCTCTCCCCCACGGGAGGGGAGGCATTGCCCCTCCCCAAGGCAGTTCCCAGCTCTTCAATCAGAATGGAAGTCAGTGTTCCAGGTGAGAATCCCAGGCTTTTTCTCTCCAGATCAGCTTGGGACCAATTAAGGTGACCCCAACAGAAAAAAGGGGAGCCAGCAGGCAGGCGATTGCTCTTGTCCCATGGGGCTCGAGGTTGACACACTTTCCTTTCAGACAAAGGGCATGGCCCCAGAGAGTATAGTGCCCAGGATAAATTTAAAAAAAAATAAAATAAAAAGAGGGTGTTTGAGACCAAGCTCTAAGAAAGGGGCGGCATTTTATTTATATCATAAATCTGTTTTGTTTTATGGTCTGACCGTAAAACCTTAAAGTGACATTTTAAATCTGGACTCCCTAACATGCTTCTGTTTTAGTTGATTGAAGCAGACCTGACCTGCCAACCCCTGAAGCCGGGGGGTCGTTCACACTTGTCCTCTTTAAAGTTTGGAGAGGTCACGGGGTGAGGCGCTGGCATGGTTAATTTCTCAGTTTTGCTGGAGAGAAAAATCACCACACCTTTACAAGGAAACGTACCTTTTTGTTAGCCTCTTGGACTCTGGAGACCAGGGGTAGGCAGGTTTTTCCGAAGCAGCCAAAATACATCCCTGAAGGCAGCTTCTCGATCTTTCGCTGGAGCCCGTAGGCAGACTAGTCTCTGCACGAAGTAAACGCTTCCTTGTCTGGCGAGGCAGCCGAGCTCTTCCTTGAACATGGCAGGTGTGACCCTTCCTTGAACACGGCAGGTGTGATGGAGACGCGAGATGTGGGACCTGCCCCACCCAGCCTGGGGCGTCCTCGGGAGGTTCTCATGGGGGATGTGGACGGGACAAGCCCCACGTGCTCTGCCATCTGCGGCTCCCTTGTCCATGGCTCCTTAGTGTTCCCCCTTCTGGCCTGTGTTCCAAGCCCCACTTACTAGTTCTGACAGCCCCTAAATCCCCCAATTTTGTGTCGACCCAAAAGAAAAACCTTCCACTTGTGAGTTTTTGGAGGAGGACACAGGTGACACCCCCCTGAAACCACCAGCACCTTAGTAATCTTGGGGACCCACCCTTTCTCTCTCCCCTCTCTTTGGCTTTCTGCGCCTTCCCTCCAGCCCCGGCTCTCCTGCACAGTCAGAGAGGAGGATTGCCTTGGGGTATTTGCAATCTCTGTTTTGAGCCCTACAATAAAAAGCTGTTGAGTAGCTCCTTCCCTCAGAGAGCTCCGGCTCAGAACACAAAGAAGCCTTGGTGTGGAAGTGGGGTGAACACCTTGCGTTTACTTCTGCGTACAGCAGACAACGAGATAGATGAATGTAATTTTCTGCCCTACTGACATCAGCAATTCTCAGCTTTTGGCTTTTCCTTCCCTCTTCCTCCCAACACATGAGAAATGGCCCCGGTCCTTCCTACTATCCCGGTGACTTTTCCACTTCTGCACATTACTGCAAGTAGATGGAACCTTCCTCTCGCCCAGCTTGCTGCCAGCTCTCTCTCCCTCTCTGTGCTCCCGCCAAAGCCTCCTCCCTGGACTCCTGCCGATGGTCCTTCTCCATGTTCATGGCTCACAAAATCACGGTATTAGCATCAATGTGCCAGGAATTGGGCTGAGCACTTTGCACAAATGATCTCAGTGGGTCTGTACTGGCGTCCAGAGGGTGAGGTGAGTTACTGGGCAGATAATCTATTGATTTGCTTTGAATTTTCTTGAATGTGCAGTGGTGGTGGTTGACCCACTGCAACAAGTTCAAATACCTTTAGCACTTCTTTGTGGGACTGACATCAATGGACCTTCTCGATTTTTCTCCCCATTGCCACTCCTTTGATGGAGCCACTGGGATGAGAGACTTGTCTGACTCCTCCACTGTTCTGCTTTGTTACCTGTGCTTTAGAAAAACCTCTCACTCCTGTCTTCTGCCACTCCTTCCATCCTCACCTGGTCAATCCTGCCCACCCATCAGTAGATACTGCTGCTTGCTCTCCCAAAATGGATGTTCTCTTCATTTTTGCCAAAAGAGCCCCAACTTTGTTTGCAATAGACATGTGCCTCTTCAGAATGTTGCCCTCCTGGGCCTCCCTGGTGGTGCAAGGGGTTAAGTCTCAGCACTATGAGCTACCGGCAGCCACTGCAGCACAAGTTCGATCCCTGGCCAGGGAGCTGACCCACATGGCACAGCAGACTCTTCTGTCTTGCCCACTGCTCCCCTGAGTAGTGTATTTCAGTAGATCTGCCTGTTCTGCTCCCCACTCTGTCTGTGGTGAAATCTCTTACCCCCCTCCCCTCTACCTCTGGCCTGCACCCCAGCTCTTGTATGTATAAATAAATAAAATAAATCTTCAAAATGTTGCCATCCTTGGAGTCTCATGCCTCCTCGGTTGGTCATGTCATCTGTTTCAGATCCACAGAGCAGGAGCAAATGCTCACCAGGGCATCTGTGAAAGTTCCATTCTAATATAATAAGCACAGCTCCTTCCTCCTGATGATCCCTGCTTCTTGCATAGTGTGTGGCTCTGTGCCTGGAGGGAAGCCGCCATCTTGCCACCAGATGGCCAAGAGGAACAGGTTACGGACAGAGAGGGGAGGAAACAACAAGGTGTCTGGTGTCTTGGTGACTTCCTTGGGCAGCAGCACTTGTTCTGCGTAGCATATCTCTGACTTATTATTTCACAGAAAAATAATGGAATTCCCTGAGAGGTTAAATCATCAAAATCAGGTTTCTACAGTCAGATGAATATAATCCCGACATACCACCTGTCAAGGCAGAATTCAAATGGTAGATAGTTTTGAAGGCAACACCCTAGTCAAAGTCACAATCAACTCTGACATGGAATAGAGAGGTAACCTCTTAATCGCTCCTGTTTCAAATTGTCTCTCTAACATTTTGACTATTATTATCTACTCTGCGACCAATTTCAAAAGATGCTTTTCAAATATAGACAAGACCTTGACCTTCTCCAGTCAGCAAAACAATCTCCTATAACATCCCATAATCATGCTTAACATGAAACCCAGCATCTTCCTATGTGTGTTTCCACTGTCTATAAACTGAGTCTTGCTTTTGACACCCCTATCCACTCTCCCCACCTCGTCTTCCTTGGTCTTTTACAAGTCCTTGAAGACCATAAATGTATTCCGAAACCAGCTTTCTCATACTTCTTCTCTTTCCAAATATTGTCATCCCCACGCCTTCTGTTCCTTTAGGTCTCTACTTAAGTATCAGCCCTTAGAGACACTTCCTTGATTATCTGTTCGAGATAAAATACTGCATTCATCTATATCCCTCTGCTTATACTCTGTTATCTTATAGCACTTATCACTACTTCTATGAATATTATATCATATTATATTACATTAATTTTTGTTCATTTGTATTTATTAGCTGCCTTCGTGATTAAAATAGAAACTTCATTAATCAGGGAATTTTATCTGCCTTCCACACCACAGAATCTCCAGTTTAGAATAGCATCTAACACCTAGTAAGTGGCCAATAAATAATTATGGAATGAAGAATTAGAAGGAAGGGAGCTAAGAAGGAAGGAAATAGGAAAGAAAGGAAGGTAGGTCACACATTTTGAAGAGAAACTTGAAATAGTTACAGTGCTCCTTAAGTCAGAGAAAACGAAGGCCTGATTTAGGAGCTGCAATTCCTCTGAGGACGTTTTCCCAAGAACAAGTGACAATTACTTGAGATAACATCTCCCTGGATTCTTCCTTACATCAGAAGATGGTAAAATCGCTAATGCTATGAGCGACACCTTGCTCTTGCAGTTGCTGGAGGGAGTGGTGTTAACGTTGCCACAGCAACAGCACATCTTATGTAAAATCTCCAACTTGCTGCAGATGTGGGAGCCAGTTTAAAAGTTTTCTCGGGGATTCAAAAAATATACACTGTTTTCTGATTTGGCTGAACTGATTGCTTTTGCTTATTCACACAGTGCTTCAAATAATAATGAAATTGCTTTCTAACTGTGTCTTTTTTTTTTTGGAGGGGGGAGCCAGAGACCATGTTGGTATTTATATGTAAATTGATGTCAGAAGTTCTAGTGCCATTGAGGAAGATTGGGAAGAGAAAGTTTGTAACACATTAAATAGAAAATGACTTTGAGTCTCTCTATCGGTGTGACTTCCTGGGGTTTGTAGACACAGGGCGTTTTTCTGTGCTTGGAACGCTCATGTCACTTCCCTTGCTGCGGTCTTCAGAATTTCTGTTTTCTCTGCTCAGTTACAACCAGATATTGTCACAGCTTCTTTCTTCCTTTCCTTTATGTTTGTTCTCCACTCAAATGATTCTTCCTCAGGAGGACTCCCTGAGTGTCCACCCCAAAATGAGTGAGAATAGCGACTCTTGCCTTCTTGCACTTCTTCACTTCAAATTCTGCAATCCTCTGTATCTTTATAATACTGTTTACTGCCTGTCGTTCTTCACATATTTATTTGCTTACTTGCTGTCTCCCTCATGAGAATACAACCCCATGAGGACAGAGACATCCTTGTCTGCTTTGTTGACTGCGTCTGAGAAACATTTCACTGTATAGACATGTAACCATTTACTTATTCATCAATGATGGGTGGGCTTTTTGGTTTTTATCCAATTTGAGCTTCTACTATAAAGCTGCTAAGATCAAATAGATACAGGTCTTTGTGGAGAGGTATGTTTTTATTTCTCTTGGGTAAACACTCAAGAATGGAATTGATCTGTCATTTGTAAGGGTATCTAAATTTATAAGAAACTGTCAGACTTTTTTTCAAAGGCATTGTACCATTTTGGATCTCACCAGCAATGCAGAAGAGTTCAAGTTGCTCCACAAACTTGCTAACTCTTGGAATTTCACTCTTTTATTTTAACCATCCTGCTGAACATGCAGCAGTGTTTCTTCGTGCCTCTGATCTGCGCTTCCTCAATGCAATGATGTGGAGCATCACTTCATGAGTTTCTCCAGTATTTGTCTAAATTCTTTGATGAAAGGGTGCTCATGTTTTGCCCATTTTTATTGATTTGTTTTCTTATTCTCAATGTTTACTATAACTCAATGTAAGAACAATTGCATAAAAATACATTCCTGCACGTTTGTTAAGATTGTTGTTAAAATTACATTCCTTACATTCTCCAAACATAGTTTTTTTTTTTTGAATACAGAAATTTTGCCTCTTATGCATAATTAGAATGAGCTTCATCATGAAATGAGAATTGTGTTCTCATCATATTTTCAATTTTGCCTAGGACACAGGGATGTTAGTGCTGAATTTGGTGTTTAATGATGGGATGATATCATTTTAGGTTTTGATCTATGTGTTCACTCTCCTATTTGCTTTTCTATTTTTCTCTTAAGTCTTTATGGTTTCAGTACGTGCCATTGTTTAATTATGTAGCTGTAAATTTCCTTTGAAAGTAAATGGCATATGTCTCGGTTTCTTCATAGTTATATGTGAATAAAGCTACTTGTAACTCAACATAAGCGAATGTTAGAAATTTCACTAGTATCTTGACTTTGCTAAAATGGTTTTGGTTTTCTTGGATTGACACTCCAAAATGTCCTTTCTACAACATGGACACTAATGTAATTATTTTCCCTGTGTTTCTCGAATACTTTTTGCCTTGAATACTTACAATTATTCCTATTCAGAGCAGAATTTCACAATATGATATATACTTTTAGGGTGTTTAATGAAAGCAAGACATTATTTTTAAAAACAAAGTACATGAATTTGTGTTTATAAATGTGTACCTCTTTAAACGGATAAGGTTTTGACATCAGTAACCATATCTTAACATCTTTATATTCCTCATAATTCTATGCTTAGCAAAATATCTAATAAAATAATTCCCTATGCTTAGCAACATATCTGATAAATGTTACATAATGTAGATAAAGGATAGATAAAGGAGCAGCAGTGATGACTAACGTTTTGCACACCAGTCATTTATTTATTCAGACACTTCTTCTATTCTAGGGCGCACATATGTGAACAGCCCTCAGGGAGCCGAAGAGGATTATAGAGCTGGAGGGAACAGCCATACTGTTCTCCAAATGCAGTGTTATTCCTAGAACCATCATGTCCACTTAGTGATCAAGCAAATGAAATTAATAAGAGAATGAAAATGAAGAGGAGCTGAAGCTGCTCCGTGGGGGACAGAGCTCAAGAGGAGGAGGAGCTGTGGGTGAGGAAGGAGGCCTTGAGGTCTGAGGCGGCAGTGAGCACTCTCACGTTGAATCCAAGGGTTAATTTGGCATAATAAAATCAGCACGAACACTGCCAAAGAGGCCTGAGCAGACCCTCAAGTAAGTAATTAATTCTGGCTGCTTTCCACTCTCTTGCTTTCATCATTCTTAATGTTATCTAATTGTAAAATTATTCTTCAAACCTTGATGGCATAAAGGAAGAAAATGCCAGAGCCAGCCTGTCTTTCTTGAGGGCACGGGTGCCTCCTGCATGTTGGTGGAAGTGCCGAAGACACCACTAATTAAGGGAGTGTGAACACTTGAAAACTTTTGATCTACTTTCATAAAATAGCCTGAAGAGTTCTAGAAAAGCTCTTCCTGCATGCGCTGAGCTACCATCTGATGGAAAGCACAGAGGGGAAGTCTCCCCAACTTCTGTGACTCTCGCAGTGACCTTGAGGGAATCTGCTATGGGGATATACAGAAAAGACAAGTATGTAAGGAAGAGACAGAAGTCTCTGGCCTGGCCTCTGGCCATCACTGCTATTGGGGTGATGGGGGAAAATCCCCAAAACCAGGGTGTGGCAAGGCCCCAGTGCCAAGAGATTTAAATTCATGTCAGTACAACCAGATAAATGAATTCTTCATTGTTAAAGGACTCTCTTTCATCCCTTGTATCTCTTCCTTCAGACATGAAGTTTCTTCCACAGACAAAGTCATTTCTCAGTCCGTGACCGTGGCAGGAGAGACCAAGCTGTCTTTTCCACTGTGATTACCTGCCTCTACTGAAGGTCTCGGGGTCTCTAGGTAGCCTTGGCAACATAAGTGCAAGGCACTATTAAAATAATGACTATTTTCTTCAGTCTAGTTAAAAAATAGAGGAGACAGCCTTGGATGGCATCCTAGTCAGGGGGAAATATCTCATGTGTCTCTGGGGTGAGATAAAAAACTGAGGGCTTGACCTCTTAGGGGCCATTTAAGCCCTTCGGGTCCTCCCCTGTCTCTTTGTCTCCTACAAGAGCAGTGGTAGTATTAATTCTGTGGCTGGCTAAATTCTAACTGGGGTAATTATACTGTCACCCTCTGGTCCCCTAGAGATTCAGTTAGAAAAGTTACTCTTTGATCATGCTCTTAAATCCTACTGCGCTGGGCTTTGTAACATGGCAGGTGAAGAATGGCTATTGGATTCCGCTGCCTCCCTCCGCTGGGTGAGTGATGCTAATTCTATGTATGTATTCTGCTGAGTGCTTGGGGATCCTTCAGGGGAAAGTTGCTGCAGTAAGCATGAGCTATTATTAGTTGAGTCTCAAAACAAGAGATTGTTGTCCTAGGCTATATTCTTTTGATAAATTTTAGTTAAAGCTCTGAACAAACCTATCAAAAGGATGGAGAAGATTGCTAGAAGTTTAGGACTTTCTTGCTAGAAGTTTAGGACACACACACACACACAGAGGTGTGTATTATGTGTACATACAATATATCTGTGTATTATGTATGGATATGTTTTTTGGGAGTTAAAAATAAGTTCCTTTACTGAGGCAACAATTTCCATGATAAAAGTCCAGGGACCTACTGGGTTATAGTTACTTTAGATTAAGTCTCCATGTGGACAGGCCAGTGAGATGTGGGCACTGGGGTTGGCACCTGAGCTGGATCTTTCTGGGTGATTTTGATTGAGGATTAAAGATGACAATGGATGATGCTTTAAAATGGTGATGGAGTCATGGAGACAGCAATTACAGACAGTTCAAGGAAACTTCCCATATGCTAAATGAAAGTCTTAAAAGGAATGACATAATTACAGAGAGTTTGCAGGCTTAGTGCCTTGCTGAGCACAGAGTTTATTTTATTTATTTTTAAAGATTTATTTATGCATGCAAGAACTGGGGTATAGGCCAGGGGTATGTGTGGGGGGGGGGTGTGAGAAGATTCACCAGAGACAGAGTGGGAAACAGAACAGGCAGATTGACTGAAATACACAGCTGAGGGGAGCAGTGGGCGAGTCAGGAGAGGTCTGCTGTGCCATGTGGGTCAGCTCCCTGGCAGGAGATCGAACTCTGGCTATGGACATCTTCATAGTGCTGTGTCTTAACCCCTTGCACCACTAGGGAGGCCTCATGAACATAGAGACACACCCACCATATCATTTCAGTGGCAATTCTGAGCATGCTGTGAATGTCTCTGTGCTTCAGTCTCTTCCATTGGGTATCCTTTCCTTCCCTGATGCTACATTTCAAGACATAGGTTAGCAGTTTTCATAATCCCACATGGAAACTAATGTGTATTAATATGGGATTTGTTTCATACATCAGAAAGTATGGTAACAAATGATAAAGAAGAATCACATTTGTGATCTCAGAAATATGGTAAGAAATGCAGTTGCAAAGTCTTATTTGGACAAAATTACATACTTGTGAAAGTGTGCATTTCCCAGTGTGAACAGTGCTGGAAATGAGAGCGGAAATCGACATCAAATTTCAACACGTGATCAACTCCCAGGGGTTTGGTCATTTTCATTTTTTCAAAGATTTATTTATTTATGCATACATGAGCTGGGGTGTAGCCAGAGGTGCGGGGGTGAGAGGATTCATCAGAGACAGAGTGGGAAGCAGTACAGGCGGATTGACTGAAGTACACTGCTGAGGGGAGCAGCAGATGAGACATGAGAGGTCTGCTGCACAATATGGGTAGAACCTGGCCGGGGATCACATTCATGCTGCAGTAGCTGCGAATGGCTCCATAGTGCTCCATAACCCCTTGCGCCTCTAGGGAAGACCCATTTTTATTTTTTAAAAAGTTCTGCTGAACATGGTAAGTTCCATTTGATAATGAATGTGAAATGCAGTATAAAATGGGTATAGTTTCTTTTTTTTAATAGTTTTTTTTAAAGATTTATTTATTTTTATACAAGAACCGGGGTATAGGCCAGATGCATGGGAGAGTGAGAGGATTCATAGGAGACAGAGCAGGGAACAGAACAGGCAGACTGAAGAAATACACTATTGAGGGGAGCAGCGGGTGAGACAGGAGAGGCCTGCCGCACCATGTGGTACCCTTGTCGGCTGGCCGGGATCGAACCGGCGCTGCAGAGGCTGCGGACAGCTTCACAGTGCGGCGCTCAACCACCTGCACCACCAGGGAGGCCCAAAATGGGTATAGTTTCTCTTTGCTTTTGCCTGAAATGTGATGACAGGCGTAGTGATGCTCTCCCTTCTTCTTCCCCCACCCTCCGCACTGCGGGAAGGTGTCTTGTTCACATTTGTAGAGGGCTGCGCATCGGCAGTGCCTCAGCCAGTATGTCCCCAGGATTCAAGCCCTTGGGGGGTCACCACACACCGCCTGGGTGTTTCACTCTGACAAACCACACATCAGCCCTCACGGTGCAGCTGGAGACTTGGCAAGTGCTGGCACGTTAGGGCTTGTTCTCTAGAAATCTCTCTCCTGGAATCCAGCCTCCATAAGGAAAGAAGATGGTTTTGAGTTGACTGTTGGAGAAAGAGGGATCACATTAAAGGGAATGAAGTCCTGCAGCCAACAGTCACCCTCGGGCCCCCAGACATGAGCCAGGCAGCTGGCAGGTCCAGCCTCGCCGAGTTCCTGTGTCTGCTGCTGCAGGAGAGATACCAGCGGACCCCACATGGAGAACTGCCCCCTCCGCTGCCCCCAAATCACTACCAATTACAAATACTGCTATTTTTAGCCACTGGACTTTGAAGTGCCTCATTATGTAGTAATAAAAACCAAAAATACCACATATAAGCCAAAAATTCTTTGTTGCTATTTTCCTCCGGGGGGAGGTTTCCCTTCCACATTTTGTCAGTTTTCCTGATCAGAACACCCCTGACTTATCCCCCATCTTTCCTCTTCTGTAAGACTTGTCCACCACTTCTGGCAGCCGTACCATCTCCCCTCACACCCTCACAGGGTCCATTCTGCACCCTTGAAAAATTTACTCCAGCACCCCCTTTGTGACTTTGTCCAGGCAGCTCATCACCGAACCCTCTTTGTCCCCGTAGCAGTTAGGACATGCATCTTTTTTCCTGCACTTGACATGTTTGTTTATTTTTGTTTGGGTATATATTTATTGATTTGTTTCTCCAACTGAAACTTAGGGATTAAATGACCTGGTCTTCATGGACTACCTGGCCTTAGTTTCACTCTTACCCCCCAGATGCTGCCACCATATTGAATTCTCTTCCCTCTACCTGAGTTACTCTTCCACCCTTATCCACCACTGTAGGGTAAAGAAAATATGAGGCTTTTCTGCCCTTCCGCCATCAGGATAGATGATGGATCCTTGTCCTGAATGCATGCCTGATGGCGGGCACCTGGAATAGGGTGTGGACATAGGTAGATGGGATTCAGCTGAGCTAAGACTGTGCTTTTAAGGGCGGCGTCACGGGGACGCCAGCAGCAGCAGTAGAAGCCGAAGCCGAAGCCGAAGCCGAAGCCGAAGCCGAAGCCAAAGCCGAAGCCGAAGCCGAAGCCGAAGCCGAAAGAGAAGCCGAGAAGCAGCAGAACGAATGCTAGAGAGCCCAGATAGAGTGAAGACTTGCCTGCCAGCCTCCCAGCCCCCCAGCCAGCACCCCTGCCTGCCATATGCCTGGTGAATCCCAATAAAAGACCTGCAAAAAATCACTGAGGACTCTGACTTCTCCTTTACCCGGTCTGCATGGGATCAGAAAACCTGCACTGTGTCCTGTTCCTGACCTTTACAACCACCCTTTATCCACACTCAGCCATCATGTCCCCCCTTAGCTATCACCTCCTCAGGATGGCTTCTTCAAAACCTGCAGGACTATCGTAGATGCTCCTTCTTTGAACACCATTCATAGCAATCCCCTCACCCCAAAGCTAGCGCTTCTAAAAACTGCTCTACTCCTAAAGCATCCATTTGTACCTCACAAGAGAACAAAGACTCTTGAGACCAGAGAACAGTTCCTCCTTACCCTTTTACTTAAAACAAAGCCCATCACAGAGTGTGTATTCAATAGATATTTGTCCCAACAAAAAAATAACTGAATGATTAAATGAATAAGTGACTGTTCTTCATAAATACCAGCCACATATCCCGGATTTTTAAGGATAGTTATGTTTTCAAATGTTCCAAGCCAGAATTGTGCTCTGCAGGCACAATTGTACTTGCCAAATTTTGGTTCACAGAAATAAGATCCATTTACCTATAAAAGTAAACTATAGTAGGGATATTGCCTTTCTTTATTTAGACTATTCACTTAATGTAGCCTAAACTTGCATTAACTTTTATTAGGAGCCATATCATACTGTTAGCTTATAATGAAATTGTGGTCAAATAAAATCCGCAGGTCTCTTTCAGATGAACAATTGTCAAAATGTATAAACAAACTGGCTGAATTAATAACTGGGAACAGCTAATAGGGAAACCCTATTGCTTAAAATGCAATTCTTTCCGGGCCAAATGTTCGCCCATCTTAACAGTAATTGCACAATGCATTTGCAGCTAAGGCCTCATTAAAACTTCATGCTCACCTGTGCTCCAGCAGCACTGAGGCTGCATATGGGTTAGGGCCATGGCCAGGTGAT